ATGTCCCCCAATGAGCAGCTCCATGGTCTGAAAGGGCAGGGAAACAGCCTAATGAGCACCACCGCAGAGGAGCCAATCAGTTGGCAGCTAGAACTTTGCTGGGGCCGCTGTGAGCCAATCATCAGCTGGCAGCTGGAAGTTTGCTGGGGCCTCTTGGGCTGTGGCTCTCAACATATTACAACAACCTATTACAGTTAAATGTGTACTGTCAGAAATGTTGCTATCTAGTGATAGCCCTTGCATGATTATTGGCTAAGAAATTTCCTCTTGCGTAGGTAGTAATATTTCCATTTGACTCCAGCAGAGGGGACAGTGACCTGGGATAGGAGTAAGGAATTGGGACAATCTTTTCAAAATCCTATTATATGCAGAATGTGTACAAACCTCCCCATCTCTCAGAGCACAGACTGATTATTGAAAACAAGTACAAAACACCCATGTATAAATCCTGTAAGGGAAATTTGGAACCTAATTAATATTTGGTCATTGTATTTTTCTTTCCTAATAAAATTTTTTCATTTTAATGGAAACAGCGGGTTTATTGATGAAGACAATTGTCAAAAGTCAGTGACTCCAAAATGTGAATCAGTTCAGACATAAAGATTGTTTGTCCATTTCTCTTTCTTCTTTTTTTTAATACCCACAAATATCCCCCAAATTACATTTGAAACATTGAATAATGTAGACGCTGGTAAATAACAATTTAAATTTCATGTGTTCAAGATACAGGCACAAAGAAGAGCTGTAGTTCTTGGTTTTCTCTCAGAGTTATTCTGTTGGACATTCCTGAAAGGAAAGAAAGTGCAGACAGGAAATCACCAGGAGTGTTGATGACATATTGTGACCAATTTTTGTGAACCAAGGAAGAGTCTAGTAAATGTTTAACATAGTTTCACCTTGATTGATGATTTCTTTGTGGAAAACAAGGTGTTTTATACTGCAGAATGAAAGGGAATTGGCATACCTCTCCAAACAACATGGCTTATATTTGTACAAGGACAAAACGACATGTCTTGTTTCAGAAACAGGGAAATAGTCACTACAAATAACAGGATATTATACTTGAATGATATGCAGATTAACCCTATCATTAAAAAGTAACAATATCTAAATTGTACATTCTTATTTGTACATTTATCAAATAACAATCATCCAAGGCACACCCACATCTGTTTAATCATTCTTCAGTGTGACAATGCTGAGTTTCAGAGATGATAAGTACCTGCCCTGTTCTGCACTGGAGGATCCAATACAAGGGGGACTGACAGATTCAAACATGAATTGCTGGGCTCTGGGTCTGATACACGGAACTTTTCATTGTTTACCAGACATTGTAAAGTTTCAAGCAGATATCCAGAGATCTAACCATAGGAGTCCCTGTGGTATATTTTTAAACTCTGGT